GGGGGGGGGGGGCGGGGGGGGGGGGGGGTGTTTGTGGGGGGGGGGGGGGGGGGGGGGGGGGGGGGGGGGGGGGGGAGGAGGAAGAGAGACGGACGAAACGGCAGCAGCGTTCGTCCACGATTGTTTTTCACGACTACGTTGATAGGTTATGATGTCATAATTGTCCCCAACCGAGGCTCTTTGTCCCCGTCGCAGCGCATCGTTTCGTCTCGATTTCCCCGTGATCGGGATATCGACTCGCATCGAGGGCCAGTATTTTAGAAGACGAAGCTGCGAAGAGCGTGGCGATAGATTTTCTCCGCGAGAATTCGTCGCAGATCGCGAATACGCGTCGCTCGTAGCGTAATATTTTCCGTCGCGATTCGCGCGAGTGGGAGAACTAACCTCGCCTCTCCGCTTGGCCGAAAGACACGACGGGGTCACCCCGTCGGTAGTCCTTTCTACGTGCCTGCCACGGGAAAAGATACCTGCATTCTCGGACGAGCCCCGTGCTTCGGTACCGCCGCGTCCGACCTTTTCTCATCTTTTTCGCGGCGGTTTCTGCATTCTTCGGAAATCGGTTCGTCGAACCGTTCGAACTCGATGCGCGAAAAGCGAGAGGGCATACGCGCCCACGCCGACCGCTCGATCTCGCTCTCGCTCTCGCGTTCGCGTTTCATCGTGCTCGTCGCCGAAAATATCGATGCGGGGACTGCTGCGTGCGTGTCGGAAGGACTCGATTCCGTCGATGAATCGAATCGAGCCGAATCGAACCGATGGAACATCGATACTCGTGTCGTCGCTCTTCGTTCTTCCTGCTGTACGCGTCCGGTCCGGTCCCCGATCCTGCACGATATTGCCGCGAACCAACGCGAGCGGGCGAACATCCGTCGTCGCGAGCGACCAGTGCAAATATCGGCGACCATTCGCCAGCCTGCGCGATCGTTTTTTACGTCGGTTTAAAACCGAAACACCTCGAAACGCCGTCCGCGATTCGTCGCGTACCCGTGATGCACGCCGAGCCGAAGAATTTGCGGAGGCCAGTACATGTAGGACACCGCGTGCTAACTGCATAAGAAACGGTATCGTGCCTGCCCGGCAAGGTAAATAACAACAAACTCTTCGAGCGTTCGCAACGTGCGTGCACGCGAAGCTGGCCGCGTATCGGACCAGCTTCCCGACTTCCGGTGCACCAGGTTCGCGCGCCATTTTTCATATTTCGTATCGAATATGCTCGCTTTTCTCTCCAACGAATAATTACGTTGGCTTTTCCTCGGCAAAATTGATACGACCTCGGATCTCGTATTCGCCGTTTAGTCCGGTACCGTATATTTGGTCCGAGCATCGGATATCTTTGAAAATCGATCGGACTCGACCGGTTTTCGCATCTAGGTCTTCGGTCGTTCGCGTAATTTCGATCAACGAGTTCGACGATATTTCAAATCGAGAAGCAAAACGACCGTTCGGCGTCAACGGTGGTACTCGATGGCGCGATCGCGCACCGCGCACGGATTTAGCGAACCACCGCGTTCAACGAGTAGTTCGCGCGATTACCGATTACAGCAAATTCGCAGGTTTCGTTTGCTTCGAGAAAAATGATAGCCAAAATGGCGGTGCTCGAGTTACGTTTCCCAGCAACGAAGAAACCGCGGACGACGCCGGTTCCTGTAAAATTATCGCGGGTCTAAAGAAAACGACGTTCGCACGACGCGTATCGAACGATAAAAACCATTTTCTTGCAATTACGCGCCGATGAATATTGAAATAATTACAACGAGCCACGCGTGCTCGCGATAAGAAGTCTTTGCTCATTGTTGCAAAAATTCTCGCAAGCGGGACGCGCTTCCGTGCAATAAAATTCGCGTTCGACGTCGAGAATCGCTGCAGCGAATAATTTCCAGCGAAATCGATCGGCACGCTTTTCCGAGGAATCGAGCGAAACCAACATGGCGGGTCGTGCAAAATCGGAGCGTCTAATTTCCAGTATCGCCGTTCGACCCTCCGCGTATCCCTGTCCTTACATCGTCGTCGTCGTCGTCGTCGTCGTCGTCGTTACATGGCTCGCAGCATCGTTGGCTTATCAACCGCGCAACCGAAATTAATGTCTGCCCGATGACGAGTCGCGCCGTTATCGATATCGCGGCGACACACGGCACTGTTTGCGCACGTGACTCTCGTCAGCCTCCGCATTCGTACT